GAAAACAAATTTCTAAAAGAAAGGAACGATTTCAGATTGCATTTCTAAAATACTCCTAATCCCTATTTAAAATGAGAAGTGATGCATAATGGAACTATTTTGTGGTCTTGTTTGTCTTCCTTAAACAAAGAGGTGTATTTATTTCTTACAGAGAAAACTCACAGGAAGTAATCAATTTTAATCATGTAACTCATTTTAATTTTGTGAATTCGGTCTTCAGGTAATTCTTTTCTTTCCATATTTTTCCTTAGAAAATTCTAAATATATTTCCCCTATAAAATGTGCTTCTGAAGTTAAACATGGGATCTAAGGAGCTGTGAGCTTTTATTTGTTATAAGCAATGTTTGTCCAAAATCACCTCTCCCGAATAGAGCTAGCCTTATCTTAAATTTTAAAATTAAATATATGTATATATATTCTCTCATTTGTATTTGCACAAAGGAGCCCTGATGGCACAGTGTTTAAGTGCTTGGCAGTTAGCCAAAAGGTCTGCAGTTTGAACGTTCCCAGCAGCTGCTTGGGAAAGGAGATCTGAAAGCTGCTTCTGTAAAGATAACAGCCCAGGAAACCTATGGGTCAGTTCTACTTTGTCACATAGAAGTACTAAAAGTTGGAATTAGATGAACACAAACAACACATTTTCATAACGTTCAATAAGTTCTATCTGTATTTTCTTCATAGCAAATACATAAGAAATTAGGATCTGAGGTTAGAAGTTAGTTTGAAATTGGCCTGTGAACTTATTATGTCGCTATAAAGTGCGGGCGGCAATATGGTTGAAGTCACAGGATTCTGGTAATAAGGTAATATTAATGAAACATATGTTCCAATATGGGTTATATAACCAGTGCTAAAATAAATGTATCCTTTTAATATCTGCATTATATACATTTGCAGAGTCAACCATAATTTTAGCTTCAGTATTTCTAAAAACTACATTACTCCAGATAAGCAAATACAGAGTTTAGAAAAATAGAATTCCCAGAGAACCAAGAGAAGGAAGGCAAAGCAGATGACATAGATTGGCATTGAAGCTACTTTTCCCAACTTGACTCTCATCTCTTGTGGCTTATAAAATAAAATATAACATGCGATACAGTTTTTCAAAGACATACAGCACTGCTAGGAAAAATAATTCTAAAATAACTATTATTCATATGATTGATATTGATTCAACAACAGAAGTGGAGCATATAATAATATTTCTGAAAATCTTTTTTACTATCTCATCTATTTCCTACGTATTATCTGCTACATGCAGATTTCTTTCTTCTAAACTGATGTCATATCCTCCTTCTCCAAGCTAATTGAATTGTCTGTGTCCTATTTTGGTGTGATAAAAGCTCACCTGAGAGAAATCAATCCCTCAGAGGGGAGGGGAGTGGAAGAAAATACACAGAGTCTCTTTCGAATAAGGGGAAAATGGAACCAAGCATGAATGGTTTTATTCCTACTACATTGAAAGCAGCATCTTGAATGGGAGGTAAATTATCTGAGTTTGCTACATTAGACAGAGGTTATATGTTGAGCTACTAACAGCCAGATTGGTCGTTCAAGCCCACCAGTGGCTCTTCAGGAGAAAGATGATTCTGTCTGCCCCCATAAAGATTTACACTCTTAGAAAGCCTACATGGTAGAGCCAGAGTGGTTTGTGCTAGAGGTGTTTTGGTGTGGGTTAACAAATAGAACAGAACTTAAGTGGTGCCATGGCTAAATGTTTAGCTGCTGACTGAAAGGTTGCTGGTTTTAATGCATAGCTGTATTGTTGAAGATGGGGCATCATGCTTTCATAAAGATTCAGCCTTATAAACCCTATGGAGCAGTTCTATAGGGTCTTTATGAGTTAGAATCAACTTCACAGCAGTGTGGGGTGTTTGTTTTGTTTTATATAAAGGAGACCTGGCAGCACAACAATGGAGTATTCTGCTGTTAAGCTAAGACTTGGTAGTTCAAGCTGACTTAGGGATTCCCTGAAAGAAAGGCCTGCCAATCTACTTCCCTAATGATTGGTTGTGGTGGTTGTTGTTAGGTTCCATTGAGTGAATTCCAACTCATAGCCACCCTATGCTGAACAGAACAAAACCCTGCCTATCATGCACCATAAACACAATTACTCCCCTGCTTGATGCCATGTGGCAACCACTCTGTCACTCCATCTCTGTGAGAACCTTCCTCTTCATCCTGGCCCTACTTTACCAAGCATGATGCCCTTCTCCAGGGACTGATAATGGCTGGCAACATGTTGAAAGTATGTAACTCAAAGTCTCACCCCGCTTTCCTCTAGGGAGCTCTCTAGTCATACTTTTTCAAAACAGATTGGTTTGACCTTTTAACGGTCCATGGTTCTGGTGTTAATCCAGGTTGACTAGAGAAACAAATACACGCTCATAGATGTGTATGTTCTTCATATCAAAGAGCAATTGTATACTGAGAAAACATCCCAGCCCAGTCCAGATCAAGTCCAATATCAGCCCTTATTTCCAATACTAGTCCATAAGTCTGATACTAGTCTGTAAATCTCTCCTCAGCGTCATGCAGCCACATGCAATGATGAAGAATGCAGGAAGGTCAATGGGTGAGAAGTCTTGTGGATCCAATGGTGGTGGAAGCATCACAGGGTTGTCACAAGTCTCCGCTGCATGGCTCACTAAGGTCTTAGTGTGGACTGTCATCAGACTGTGACCTGATTGGCCAGCTAGACTCCACCCTTACACTTATTTATCAAGTTGACATGAAAGTACGTAACTACCACAGTACTTTCACTATTCTTCTCCAGCACCGCAATTCAAGTGCATCTATTCTTTGTCGGTCTTCCTTATTCAGTATCCAATTTTCACATGCAAATGAGAGAATGGAAAATAAGGATTATAGCCAAGAAAAACATTTGGAGCAATTCTACACTAACAGCAGGTGTCACCAGGTACCAGAATTGACATGATGATGAGTTTGTGTTTGGAATTAGAAAATTGAAATAACCTGGGTATTTAAACAGAACAATGCTAACAGTTATTCAAGTGAAAGAAACACTTGGATTACAAATTAGAGAACAGGTTGGTTCAGAAATTAGCTATACCAGGATGTCACTGTGAAACTAGAAACAGAGAGAAAGAAAGAAAGTACTTTTTTCTGGGAGTAGGGACTTGAATCAACCAAAAAATCAAATACCTGGTGGGTTTGTCTGACAGACTTTGCATGCAAACAGAACCACTATCAGGTTACTCAACATGGAGAGATGAGAAATAAACAAATTCTTCTTTACTCCCAACTGGAAATTTCTGAAAACTGCCTTCCATATGACAAATGTAGCTGGAAGTCAGCTGACTGAAATCTTAAAAAATATAGATATATATAAGCCTCACCCCATAGTACAAAGAAGAGAGTGGGAAAGTGATAGTTTAAGGATTTTCAAAGTACTGAAAAATCGTCATACAATTAGATTAGACGTGGGTAAATTAAAAAAATACAAATTTTAGAAAAATGTTAAATGTGTTGATAGATGGGATGATAGATACAGATTGATAGGTAATAGATAAGTGATGACTAGATATATATATATGTATACAACTGGATGAATGTATGGACAGATGAGTGGATGGGTAGATAGATGATAGATAGATAGATAGATAGATAGATAGATAGATAGATAGATAGATAGATAGATAGATAGATAGAAAATTAAGCAAACCAAGAAAATTTACCTGAGTAACACTTGCTGTTGTTACTAGTCAAATTCACTCTGACTCATGAAACATTATGTCACAGAACACAACTTTGAGTAGTCCTCTGACATCTTCATGACCATTGGGGTGTTTGAGTCTATTTGAATAACAGCAAGTTAGAAAATAAACTTCAAGGAAAGGTTCATGTGTCTTGAGGTAGGTTGGAAGGTATACATTCTTTTATTGATTTATTAGCATAATCATGTTTTATGAGATTTGTGTTTGTTGTCATTTCCATCTAGGAGGTATTTTTTAAAATATTATGTAACTGAGCCCTACCAAGGGTTTTTTTTTCCTTGTGGATGACTTTAGAATTTATAGCTCTTTTCTTATGTTTGGACACATCCAAATGTCCACAAATTATAGCTTCTGTGAAAAGATAAAACCCATACCATCAACAATTCTTTGAACTCACTTTTACTTTGACTCCAGTTAGTAATTTATGATTTTATATTTCACTAAATTGTGTCCATTCTTTGTTTACCTCCTGAAGTGTGACATCCTTACTGTATCTGTATTTTAAGTGGTAGCCAATCCCATTTTTCTCCAAGAATTTAAACTTTTTTTTTAACAGTTTAATAAAAATTTGAATTTTCAGACTAGTCAATATGTTTATCTTTGCTCATAAGAGTAGTTGGGAATCCTTCTTTAAAGTTTTTAGTCTGACGGGAAATGTGGGTGTAAAGGTCAAGTCAATAAGAATCTGTCCCAAGATTTCAGGATATCAAACTGATTCAACCCAGGTTAGGGGTGCAGGGCAGGAATTCCAAAATGAGGTTTTCAGACATTCTGTTTGACCTTTATCAGTCATGCTACTCAAATTGTTTTAACCTTTGCATTCTCTGTTTTCAAGATTTAATATGATACCATACATACACACGCTTAACAGAAATTGATAACTTTATTTTTTCTGGATGCTAATAGTATCATTGATGAGATTCTATGACATTATATTATTTCAGAAAATATATTCAAAAATCTTGAAAGGCACATTTTTTGGTGTGGATACAACTATTCTTGGGGCCCTATATTGCGACTTGTTCACAGCCTCACTCTGCTTTCAAAGTGTTCCTAAAAAATCTATAATGAATCTGGAAATAATATCGCCAAGCCAGAAAAATCATCAAAGTAAGAGTAGGTGCTTCTTTGTTTTGGTTTTCCAATGGAATAAGAAGTTCTGAAACTTTGTATCAGCTTTAATACATGGGTTCTCTGATATTCATATCAGTTAGTTGGATACATTTTCAGCACTTTTCTTTCTTTCTTCTTTTTTGCTTTTTACAGGGGCTAGCGTGAACGCAGTCCCCCACTACCACAAATCATGCAGTACAGTTTCCCACATTTGGGGAAATCGCAGGGGTCAGCACACCCGCAGTGCAATGGGTGAGCCCCACCCCGGGAAAACCAGCTTCGTGACCATGGTATCTCCGCTGCCAGGTAAGTATGCACCACTTTTCTTATACTTGCTACATACAGACTCCTTATAGGTCAGATGAATAATCTCGGTATGAAATTAAAAATTGCATTTTTTTTTGTAGTCTCTGAAAAAATTATAAACCATAGGAATCCAAATTGCTGAAAATCCTTTTCTAAGTCAAGTATTTATTTCCTGTTTAAACATACGCAATCATCACGAGTTTCTGAATAACCTAATGAGTCTGGCGCTATGTAAACTGCAGTTGCTCTTGTCAGGTGCTCCTCAGCAGACTCCAAGTCAGCCCCCGCCAGCAGAGCAAAGCCCTGCCAAGTTCTCCCTGACCCACACCACCATGGCTGTGTTCAAGGACATTGTCCCAGTCCAATGTGGCTGTTTGTGGCATTGAGGGTCTTTTTTTTTTTTTTTGCTGACCTTGTACTTTATCTAACTTGATGTCCTTCCCCACGGACTGATCCCTCAAAGACCCCATCCTGATAACATACCCAAAATACGTGAGTCAAAATCTTACATCCCTTCTGAGGAGCATTCTCGGCACTTCTTCTCATACATCTTGTTTGTGCTTCTCGAGGTCCGTGATATAGTCACTATTCTTTGCATCATAATTTAAAGGCATTAATTCTTATTTCTTGCATAAATAGAATCAATGGAAGGTACAAAATAGGTCAACATTTGGTTATATTCTTTATTGGTCTGACTATTTTAAGTGGGGAAATTATATCACAGATTAAGTATACGAATTGCATATCTCTATTTATTGATACTCATTTATTGATTTTAAATAATGTTTATACTGACTAATAAATACATGGTTCAATCACCATACTCCTTAAATGCTTGATCAATGATATTTGCTTATTCCACTATCATATTACGTAATCTCTGAGAGTAAAAACTAAAAGTAAAACTGGGATGATGACAATCAGTATGAGGATGATCACTGATATTTACCACAGATAATTTTCTTCAAATTTTAGCTTTGCATGAAGTATTGATGGGAGAAAAATTAGAGTGATTTTTGAAGTGTATAAAAATTGTTCAGAATAATACTGTGATGAAATGAACTGAAAGACTGAACTTTTCCTTCTTCACTTTAATTGCTTTGTTCATTTCTTGTTGGTTTGCTCAGCTTAGGCAAGCATTCTAGCCCTTTCCACTCTCCTGACAAGGGCAGGGTAGCATCCCACTCCAGCAACTCCCTTCCTCAAACACCCTCAGCCCTCTAGACCTGTGGCAGGGAAGTCCCTTTATGGGTCAGCCAGAAGCCCACTGTGCTATCTCCCATGATCCTCTTCTGGTTCTGTTGCTGCTACTCGACTTTTTAGGGCTCCTGCATCTAGGAGGTTTTCAACACAGGTATTTGAGGTCAAAAGCACATGCTGCCACGCATCATCTTTTTTATGGTAGTGAGATCTCTCGGCAACCGCGGTAGCATGATTGCTAATATATTAAAGTGGCTCGATCCTCTTGGGCAAATTTTATTAACACTGCACAATTACCAAACAATCCTTTGCTGGACTAAATAGACTAATCTCTTTGCGGGTGGCTCTGTCAATTTATGTGAACAATGACAATTTCTGATGGCAGTGCCTGGCTTCTTTTCTGGGCAACTATTAAAAAGGCAACCCCTTAGGGCACAAGTTGAAAATTTCCCAAGCTGTTGTATTTTCCTCTCCTTGTACAGTCACAAGGCAACGGGCCAGTACAGTCACAAGGCAAAGGGCCAGGTAAAAAAAGCAATTTCTTCATAACCTCAGGTACAAATCTATTGTCTGTTGCTGTTGAATCAATTCCAAAAATATAAAAATTCAGTGGAATCAATTCATTAGATTGAAAATAGAAAGGAAATTAAGACCTTGAGCATTTGTGAGATACCAAGTTTTCTTCTAGACAGTATGGATTCTGTGTTTAATACTTAAGTCTGAAGTTTAGCAGTGAAATCAGCTGACTAAAGACTTGAAATCACAAATTGCCTGATACGTAGGTTACTTCTTATAAATTTGATAATTCTTGTTATGTTTAGCAATTCATCGAATCACAAAAAAACTTGAATTTATATTTTCTTGCTTTATGGCATTCAGCAAAGTAATCCTCATATCCTGGACAATTACTAAATGCAAGATCATCACATTGTATACCACTTAGCAAGGATGAATTTAAGTACCTACAGTGAGCCAGTGAACATGGGGGAATGCCTGTTGTTCTTACTTCAAATAATTGTTCAGCTATTAGAAATTATTGGGAGAAAGATGGGGCTTTCTACTCCCATAACAATTAAAGTCTTGAAAACTCAAAGGGGCAGTTCTACCCTTTCTCAGAGGGTTCCTGTGATCAGCATTGACTCAATAACAGTGTGTTTGAATTTTAGTTTATTAGAAAATGTTCAAAATTACCAAATTGGAAAGTCAAAAAAATGTTTGAAACATATTTAAAGAATAATGTGGCATATATTATTTCACAATTCGAGATATTGTTTTAATTTGTGTTTTACTTTAATTTGAAGTCATATTGTCTAAGATAAGTAAAAATTCAAGAGGAAATTAGGAGTATTCAGGAATTTAATTTTTCTTATTTGATTTTCCTAGAGTTCATAGTTCAAAAAAACTATAAGCCATTGAATTTGAGAATTGGGTTAAAAGCCTCCGGTGCCCTGAGATATAATTGATGTTGCATAGCAATTAAAATAAGCATTACCAAGAAATCTTATATATAATGGCCTAATTCTATTTTTTAAAACCACATTGTTTTTATTTAAAGGACCACATTTATCATATTGATTTTAAGAATCCAGATTTAGATTGAATGAAACACATCTATTACATGAACTCTGTTAAATTATCTGGAATTGGAAAACAAAACAATTGTTAGAGTCTTACACTTTGAAAATATGACTTTAACAATATATCATTTAATGTTTTCACTTATATTCCATTAAGCTTTGATCTATGGTTTCTGAAAGCTATGAAATCAGAGCAATTTACATAACTTGGATATTTTCATGTAATCTATCTTGTTATTTATCATGGAGATTTTCACATTTGTCACCCCATTATCCACTATATCTTTATATAACCCTATGGGATTTCTTATAGGCAAAATGGTCTCATTTGTCCTTTATATTTCACTCTACCCCTTTCAGATCCTACTCATTATCTCTGTTTGGTACATTACATGTCAGCTTGTGAAGCTGATTTGCTGGGGAAAATCTTGTAAAATAGTGATTTGCAAGTAACAGAAACTCTTGGTAATTTGCTCTGTATTAATACTGTATTAAGAAAAAGTACCTTGGAAATCATTCAGTAGGTAAACATGATACTATAAAACGTGGGTCAAAGAGAAAATTTACATTTTACAAAATACTAACAAAAGAAACACATGAAAAAAAAATCCAGACCTAACTTTAGGCACATTTTAATGAGAATTTGTAGACCTTCCTACTCATTATCTCAGCTGACAAAGAAAAAGTTACCCTCGGAGATCATCCCTGGATGTGACCTTAGATGAGAGAGATGCTATCACCTCCCTGAGGGCCTGTGAGGACCAGTTACGCCTCGATATATCTCCATATGCACTTGCTAAGATGGAGTGCATATGTGGATATGGTGGTAGAGAAATTGTCATTTTCAGACTTTTGAAGAATTCTCATAACATACATGTAATAGCCAACATTGATTTATTCTTATTTTCATTAGACTATGGAGGAATTTCATAAACCACTTCTAATATCTATCTATATTTTGGAGTTCTACATCTTCACAAACTAAACAAAAACAAAAACAAACAACAAAACACAATTAATTGATATAGCTACTGAACTGAAGAAAAAACACAGAAATATAAGAATTCTACAAACTGAATTAATCATCTAATTTTATATTATTCATAGGATAGTTTCCAAAAAGATAAGCACTTCAAAAATTTTATAACTAAGTATTAATATTCTTGGCATATAAAGTTGTACAAATTGCTAAAGCCATCCCTCCATATTCACTTCCTCCTCTCTGCTAACATAGAATGCTTTCTCTCTTTTTGTTAACTTTCAAACATTTCTGCAGTAAACAGTTACTGTTATCAAAACAAATGAACTCACCATACTGGCATTACTTACTAGTTTAATTGTCATTCATGCTCAGCACAGTCACCTCTGGTTTTGTCCTCTGCTGCTCAATATCTTACGGCAAACACACCAGTCATCACCTTGTCAAACTTGTGGTGCTTCTCAGACCATATTTTTTCCGTCTGGCCTTTTATACGGAGGAAGATTTTCTTTATAATCTGAATTCCTGATTCTTTTCTCTTAGTTTCCAAAACATAGTTCTCTCTCTAGGTTGTTTTCCTAAATCAGCTAGCTCTCATATCATTTTCTGAAATATTTGGTGTCTAGAGAAACAGGGTTTGATATCAGACACTTATCACTCAATTTTCCCTTGTCCACTCATACGGTGACTCATTCACTGTAATTGTTTTATGTATTTAGGCCATTATCTTGCTTTGAGCTCTATTCTTACAAGTAAATCATATTTCTGTTAAAGACATCTCCACACAGAAAAATTACAATAGAATGTGTATTCATGTTTCATTAAATTCGCAGAACACCAAATGTACTATACCCTCACAAACATATGATTGTGCTCTCTGCCTCATAAAGGATGCCTTGAAATACCTCCCCCTTGATGGATAATAAACCACCTTGATATTTGTTTCCTTTGATGTCAGTAACGGCCAGGGAAACCAATTGAAGTAGAAATCTCCACAATTTCCAATAAAGCACAAACTAATTCATAAAGATTTTAACCATCCCCCCAATGCATTTCAATATCTCCTAGTCTTACATCATTTAGCAATCATTATGGCCAATGCGTCATCATGTCTAAGCCTGATCACTGAGTTTATGACCATGAATGCAACCCGGTAGCATAATGGATTGTGCATTGAGCTGCTATTCATTAAATTAGTGGTTCTAATACACCACTTGCTCCTCAGGAGAAATATGAGGCTTTCTCATATCAC